TAAGAACATAAGAAGAGCCCTGCTGGATCAGACCAGTGGTTCCTCTCGTCCAGCATCCTGTCTCACACAGTGGCCAACCAGTTCCTCTGGAGGTCCAACAACAGGGCATAGAGGCCGAGGCCTTCGTAAGAACATAAGAAGAGCCCTGCTGGATCAGACCAGGGGTCCCTCTAGTCCAGCATCCTGTCTCATACAGTGGCCAACCAGTTCCTCTGGAGGTCCAACAACAGGGCATAGAGGCCGAGGCCTTCGTAAGAACATAAGAAGAGCCCTGCTGGATCAGACCAGTGGTCCATCTAGCCCAGCATCCCGTCTCACACAGTGGCCAACCAGCTCCTCTGGAGGGCCAACGACAGGGCACAGAGGCCGAGGCCTTCCCCTGAGGTTGCCTCCTGGCTCTGCGATTCAGAGGATTAGTGCCTCTGAATGTGGAGATTCCCCTCAGCCGCCATGGCTGGTAGCCGTCGATAGGCTTATTCTCCACGAATCTACCTAATCCCCTTTTAATGCTGTCTATTCCTGTGGCCATCACCGCATCCTCTGGCAGTGAGATCCACATCTCAATCCCTCGCAGTGTAGAGAAGTATTTCCTTTTCATTCCCCTACACCCCAATTCTCTCCAGAAGATAAAACCCAACCGTTACAATCATGCAGTGCTGCAATTCTCTCCAAATCATCCTTAGTCCTTTGGGAGAGAGACTCTAGCACCCCAATATAGGACGGGAGGGGTGTGTGTGTGTGTGTGTGTGTGTGTGTGTGAGAGAGAGAGAGAGAGAGAGAGAGAGAGAGAGAGAGAGAGAGAGCTTACTGCCTGGGTTTCATTACCTGCACACAATCTGTGTTGTATTTTCGGCACACTTCCTCAATGGACATTTTGTGCTCCGTCTGCGGGGAGAAATGCAAAATGGAATGAGAATTAGAAAGCCGTTCCTCTCTCCTTCTGTTCCTTCCTGCCCCCTCTACAGTCTACCACTGCCGGATTAATTTGAAGCAGAGTTACTCCAGTCTAAACGCACTGATTTCACTGACGGAAAACTGGAGTAGGACTGCGTCAGATCATAAGAACACAAGAGCATAAGAGACACCATGTTGGATCAGGCCAACGGCCCATCCAGTCCAACACTCTGTGTCACACAGTGGCCAGAAATACCAGGTGCCATCAGGAGGTCCCGCCAGTGGGGCCAGAACCAGTGTTCCCTCTAAGCTGAGTTAGTGTGAGCTAGCTCCCAGTTTTTTAGCTTCCGGCTCACACATTTTTATCTTGGCTCAGGAAGGAGGGCTCCAGAGCAAACTCATTGAGGCAGCAGCCAAATCGCTCGCTCACCGCTTTAATGCCAGTAGCTCACAAAGTAGAACTTTTGCTCACAGGACTCCACAGCTTAGAGGGAGCATTGGCCAGAACTCCAGAAGCCCTCCCTCTGTTGCCCCCCAAGCACCAACAATACAGAGCATCACTGCCCCAGACAGAGTGTTCCACAGGGCTTTTGTAGAAAAAGCCCAGCAGGAACTCATTAGCATATTAGGCCACACCCCTGACAACACAGCTCATTGGCATATTAGGCCGCACCCCCATGTTACCAGAAGTGTGGTCATCCAGCCACACCCACCTTTTGCTTCTTATTCTGTTTACCTTGTTTGTTGTCAAAACCCAGGGCTTTTTTCTAGCAGGAACCCCTTTGCATGTTAGGCCACACACCCCTAATGTAGCCAATCCTAATGAGTTTCTGCTGTTGGGTGTGGCCTATTATGCTAATGAGTTCCTGCTGGGCGTGGCCAACTTGGGAGCCAGCCGGAACTCCGTTCCTGTGTGTTCCTGCCCCAAAATAGCCCTGATTAGCTGTCTATGCGCTTGTAGCCACCACCACTTCCTGTGGCAGTGAATTCCATGCGTTTAGGTGAAGAAGGACTTCCTTTTATCCGTTCTAAGCCTACTGCTCATTAATTTGATTGAGCCCCCACCGGTTCTTGTATTGTGAGAGAGGGAGAAAAGGACCTCTTTCTCTGCCTTCTCTATCCCATGCATAATTTTGTGAACCTCTCTCATGTCACCCCCTCAGTCATCATTTCTCCGAGCTAAAAAGCCCTAACTTCTTTAGGATCACACCCGAAATGACCTGGGAGCGAAGCCCAATAGCCACTCGCTAGTTGAGGTTGAGCCTCTGAGGCCAGCGCCCCTGTTCTGACTCACCATCGAGACTTCTTTCTTCAGATCGTCCAAGTCCCGGGCTTTCTGTGCTTTGTCCTTGTGAGTCGACTCCTTCTCGTCATGTTTGTCTTGCGTGGTCGCCACACGGTAGCTGTCTGAGCGGCCGTACTGAGTAGGAAGAGGGGAGGAAAGAAACAGAAGTCAAGGCACCGAAGTGGGTCGCGGAACTACTTTCTTTGAGCGTCTCCCAGACGCCGACATCTTACAGGGCGGATGTTCTATTTAGACACGTCTTCTTGGGGATATGGTGGACCTGATCCAACCCAAATAGGAAACTCTGGTTTCTCATAATTTCTTTGGGGAAACACGTGTTGGACAACAAGGTCTGCCGAGGAGTATCCCTGATGCGGGGATCTAAGAACGTAAGCAGCTCTCTTAACACTTTCGGCAGGGGTCCCCAACTTTTTTGAGCCTGTGGGCACCTTTGGAATTCCGACACAGCGTGTTGAGTGCAACAACAAAATGGCTGCCACAAAATGGCTGCCGCAGAAGGCGCAACCGGTCCCAGAACGTATGCCACAGAGGACCTTCAGTCACACCACAATTATCACTACCAATGCAACATTTTTAAAGAAACTGTACAGCCAAGCCAATCTCTCTTAGCCCCGTAAGGCAGGCACCAGGATATGTGGCAGCAGGCCCCACAGCGCCCATGGGCGCCACGTTGGGGGACCCCGACTCATGGCGTTGGACCTTTTCTTCACAAACTCCAGCCCACTGTGTTCCATCACAATCAGGATGATAAACCAAGAACCTCTTCTTGGCTTTCCCATTTTCCTAGGGTTCCCAAATCGGGCCAGGGGGGCAGGGAATCCCCCGCTTTGACGGCCCGATTTTCGACGGGACGAAAACCGGGCCCGGGGAAAACCCCACCCCCGCATGTGCGTCACCCGGAAGTGACGTCGCACGCTGGGGGCGGGGCCACGCCATTTGAGGGGGAAACAAAGGCCGGGAACCCCCCGCTCCCGGCCAAAAGACATTTGGCCACCCTACATTTTCTGTGCTGAATCCACAAAAACGGAGGCCATTTGCGGTACTCCACTCGCACGGCTGAACATTTTCCACAAGTGTCCGAAGACCTCCTCATTCATACAGGACATAGTTCACTGATGGGCAATTATGACAGACAGATGTCAGTCGGAAGGCTTGCCATTTGAAACTTTTTTAGGGTTTTGACGGCATTTCGCAGCCCCGGGAAGTAGCCAAAAGATCTGCACTCTCTCAGCCTGGGGAAAATATACAGTACAAAAGGTTTAGGGAATGGAATAACAAGTCAAGGCCAGGTTATCTGACCTGGGTAGGGTTGCCAGCTTTGTGTTGGGAAATACCTGGAGATTTTGGGGGTGGAGCCTGGTGAGGGTGGGGTTTGGGGAGGGGAGGGACCTCAGCGAGGCATAATGCCATACAGTCCACCCTCCAAAGCAGCCATTTTCTCCGGGGAATTGATCTTGGCCATCTGGAGATCAACCGTAATAGAGGGAGATCTCCAGGTGCTGCCTGGAGGTTGGCAACCCTAGGGGGAGGAGAGGGAATTCAGTGGCGTGTAATGCCACAAAGTCCATTTTCCAGAGTTGGCCTTTTTCTCCAGCTGAATGGTTCTTTGTCACCTGGAGACCACCCGGAGGTTGATCACTTAGACACAGGTGTCATTTTTCGTTCCTCGAACAAAAAGAGTGAACTTCCAAGACCTCCGGCTCTCTTTTCCTTTTCTGGAGAAGAAGGGCCAGCTGTCATTTCGAATACCAAAGGATGGATGACAGGGGAACCTGCTTCAGCTGCTTATTCCGTACTTGCCAATCCTATGTTGCCAATTCTATTTGAATAAGATCTAGGATATTTTGCCCCAAACCCCAATTTTTTTCCCCCTGTCCAAGTGTTTACTTCACAGATCTAGCTGTTATACTGCAGACTGACACTTCGACCCTCTA